GTTTTGACACATAACACATATGGAGGATATATAGAGAAATTACTAACCTTGTGTGGGGATGATGAGTTAACAAATAGTATTTTACTCGCTGAACCCAAGAGTGAGAGGCAATTATTCTTTCAAGTGACAGTGTTTCAGCAGACAGGCCAATGGTAATTTAACAATAAAGAACAAGTAGGGGAAAAACAACAAATCATTGTTCCATCAAGAGTGAGAATCGAAAAAAAATAAAAAAGTAGGATCATTTTATTTTAACTATTTATAATAAATATATTTAAAGATACACTGTATACTCCCCCCATTGCTAAAAATAAACAGACTTTTCCTAAATTAAATAATTGCCAATGATATCATCATTGTATGATAAGTTAATTATTGCAATAATATCTAGAAAGTTTGAGTGTCTGAAATATGAACAATTAATATTTCTTGTGATGATTCAAGTTGTTCTTGTTCAAAAACATGTTTGAATTTGGTGTATTTTATTACAATTTAATAACCATCTCTGTTAATACTAGAATGTCTTGGAACCGAATGGTTAATGCGTCCACTCTGCCAAAAGAGACATCTTTTGCACATTAAATAGAAAGCTCATTGACAGAGGGACTGGAGACAGAAAGAAATCATAGGTTCCTCTGCAGCATGAGTAATCATTAGTGCATTGAAGGAAAGATTTGAACTGAAATTCAAGATCAACTGCAACAAAACTGTTGTCAACGTCCTTTCAGCTGTTTATTTCAAACTAACTGACTAACTAGCAATGAGCAATATATTCTAACAGCATTTTTTTTGTCAATGTTAATAAATTAATTCTCTATGCTGTATAAGTATTGTTTGTTAGCTTTAAAATACCACATTCTGAAGGAACTCAATTTGGTAGTGATCACATCGTTATCTAAATAGCTGATTGGTTGCTGTTGCATCAGCTGCGGCTCAACATTAAAATACTCGTAATGTTTGCAGAGCGCTTTCAGAAAGCATCTGAAATCAACAACTAAGATAAGTGAACAATCTTTTAACATTACATTGGATCAGTTTAATGTCTTCTTGCTAAATAAATATTTCTTTAAAAAAAATCATATTGACCCCAAACTTTTAAATGTAATGTAAGTGTAACGTCGTGCGGAGAAATAGTGCTGAGACTGGATCCAGATGCAGTGTAGCTTTATTAACAAACTCAGACAGGAACAGGATTCAAGGACTTAGAAACAAGACTCACGCATTCAAAAACCACCAACGTTAACAAACATTTAACATCTAACCAAGACAGGGCAGAAATACAGGGCTTAAATAATCAAGGACAAATGAGCTAACAAGATAAGGGGGCGTCGGGAATAAGGAGAAACACCTGGGAGAACTAATAGACAGGGAACCACAGATAATGAAAAGACAAGACACAAAACCCACATTATGACAGTAAGACATTGAGATCCTTATAGTCTAAATATCACACCATGGTTAGTGATGATATCAGATGTTAGTACAATGGTACTTTGATATATACCGTGGTACTGTATGAATAACATATTGATTACTATTATATTTACAGTACATGGTAGCCTAATCCAAGACCATGCAACTACTGTAACAAAATCCATAGTATTACTAATAATATACAGGCCTACATGGCAATACCCCAGTATATTTTTGTTAGTGAAATTCACTCTAGCCTATATCATTTCCATTCCATTTCCATTACACGAGAGTAGATGTTAAAACTTCATGCTGATTTATACTTGGCTTTTGCCAAGGTAAGCTAAGACATAGCTTTACAGTAAACTATGCTTCTCCATCCATTTACGCTTCTTTCCATATGGCGGTGTGACCCCCTTCTGTCCGGCGTTAACGGCTGCAGTGTACTTGCCGCGTTGCACACACGACGGCTGCAACTACAGTGTGGTCTCCCTAGTGGACCACCACGACAACCGTCTGGATTGAGCCGAGTAGGGGACATCTCTAGGGTCTTCAAGTGGGCACCTTCCATCCTCAGTGTTTTGTCGACTAGCCCACGACACCTCAAGAGGGCTCGACAGTGACACTGGCGTCCCAGAGTCACCCCACTCCGTCCCCCACTCAACTCAGTCCAGCTTACTGACCCCTACAGAGACATAACCACAATCACGCACAACCCAACCATACGCGCCAACCCATTTGATAATGGCTGTCGAGCCCCACTGGTGCGTTATGAAGCAGTTTCAGTGGCAAACGGTTCAGTATGGCATACCACCTACCGCAAACCACAATATCTGGCCAACCACCGTAATTCAAACAATATACACAGGAACGTAATGACTGTAATTTTAGTGCAACCTATACAAACAGACTCTTCAAGAATTATACGAAACCGTAGCGTGGCGGCCTGCACATAGCCAGCTAGAATCTTTTTCGTCTCAACCACAGCCAGTTGCTGCTCCTCTCTGCTGCTTCAGATAAGTTCTTTACCGTGCGACGCAACTCTTGGCCACTGAATCCGACGTCTCTGAGGAACCGGGTTGTAGAGTGTGCCGCAAAACCTCGACAACCCACTTCCACTGGATAAACTTGGACTCTCCATCCTCGCTGCTCTGTCTCAGTGGCTAGATGAGCATACCACAATTTCTTCCTCTCATATGCTTCATCTACCGCATCCTCCCATGGCACTGTTAGCTCTATCAGCTGAACAATGCATGCTGACCCATACCACAAAACAATATCTGGTCGTAAGTTAGTGGTAGCAATCTCAGGTGGAAAAATAAGCTGTTGATCAAGATCAGCCGGCATCTTCCAGTCCCTAGCAGTTTTCAGTTGTCCTGGGCGAGAATTGGTGTTAACATCTTTTCTTGGTGGTTGCTCGCCTGGGTGGAGGAATATTGTCTTCTGCGTGTAATGTTTTGCAGGCGGCAACTTATTGGTCAGACTACACTTGCCCTCCAATGCTAAAGCCAAACATCGTAGTACTTGGTCATGGCACCAAGTAAACCGACCCTTGCTAAGAGCCACCTTACATTCTGTCAGAATGTGCCTTAAAGGTTCTCTAAGCGATGTGGGGCCAAAACATTTTTTGTCACATACATCAAACGTCTCCTCACTATCGGCTAGCTGCCTGTCCCCTAAACACACTGTAAAAAATGCGGTCTCTGTAGACACCACAGGCTCCACAAATGGAAACAAAAACAATCATGTCTCACCCGGACCACAAAACCTAACAAACAGTGTTCCAGCCAATCACTGGCAAGAAGTATTTGAGGGTGGGTCTGGGGGGTTAGTGCGTGCACATGAAAGGGGTGTGTGTGTGAAGGAGAGAGAAGCATAAGAGGGAAGTTTGAAAAATGGCCGAAACACGACCAAAGAGACGTCGTTCTGAAGAACAAATTAAAAAGAAGAAGGAGTCGGATAAAGAACGTGCGAAGTTCCGAATTTACATCGGTAGCAAAGCTTTTGAACGATGGCGAGAACTCCGGCGGCAGAAGGGCTTCCAGTCCGACATTCAGGTTGCTCTGTTTTTGCTGGACAGGTGGGTAACGTTAAATTGTTTTTTTTCTTCTAAATTGACGCTTATGTTCGCCAAACCCACACAAGGATATAATTAGCTAGAAATGCACGTTCACAATTATTTCAGGAAGGACGCAAGGGAGGGGGAGGAGATGAGATGCGGAGGAGGGAGGGTCTAGCTAGCCTCCGATTTGTTTGAAAATATTCCGAACATCAACACCACGCCTAGGATCGCTCAGAGAACCTTTAATGTGGCAGGTGATGAACACAAACGACAAGAGGGATCCTCTCCTACCCATAGGTTTAGGTTCTGCGGCGATGGAAGGACATCATGTGTTGACCTTATAAGGAAACTGATCCTACTCTCTTCCACTGACCAAAGGTCTTGCCAGCCCAACTTGCGTTGTCCCACACTTTCCCATCTCATCCACTCTCCCTGCTTGGCCTGGGAAATTGCCTTTATACACCTCATCGTCTCCTCCTGCTTTCGCACCTCGTTGACTACCAGCTTCCTCCTTTGAGCTGGGCCTACCTTGTGCCATTTAGGAGGAGCTACAGTACACTAAGCCGCCCAAAACCCCCTCTTCCATGCTGTACCTGTCCCACAATATCCCCAATATGAAGGGCAGCCTTCGCCTCTACTACAGATTTCTCTGCTGACCACTTCCTACCAGTTTTTAACACAGGGGCTGCCTCCCTTACACATTTGTCACGTGATTCTACTAAGGTCATTTCCAGCCTGACATTGGCACACTTAAACTCCTCGGTTAAAGCAGAGACTGGCAGCTGCAATATTCCTTTACCATAAACTCCCAACCATTTAAATTATATCTCTCTTTTTTCTTTCTTTCTTTTCTTTTTTTTCAAATCTTATTTATTCTATATCTTTAAAATTGTGCATAAACTGTGCACTTGAACCTGTCTGAAGCTTTTCCTGCCTCTTCTTATTGGTCAGTTACTTATTGAACAATAGATGAAGCCAGAAACAAGAATATCTAAAGGTAAAAACATGAGAAATTGATGACACTGTAGATCATCCCTGGTCCAAACTCAATGAAATGTGAGGAAATCAGAGCTGACACTTTTCTGAATAAAACCAAAATCTTTGATCATTCAAAGCTGAATGTTCTTGAGCTTGAACACAGAGAGATTCTGAAACCTATCAATGCATGTTGAGGTGAAGCTTTAAATCCCAAGAGGTTTACTAAGAGATCTGTATTGTATTTGTGATTGTCACATTGTGAAACTGCTTTAAGGTTTGATTGCTCCTATTCATTGAATGTCACAGCTGTTTTTTTGGTCTTATCTTAAACGCTACAAAAGGCAAAGTCTACATTTGTGTGCGTGAGAAAGAGAGAGATAGAGAGTAAATGATACACCGAGACCAAAAAAGGAATAAACGTCTTTGTTCATAAAAAGGGTTGGGATTATAGAAGCAGAAAGGAGATTTGTTCAATTTGATGTAATCCTTCATTTATGTCCTCATTTAATACTGAATCTATTTTCTCTCATTTTTTTCTCTGCCCCAGGATGAAAAAAATCAGGTATTAATAACCAACGCCTGGCTACAGCTGGTGAGTTTCTACCTACTTTCCTTTTGTACTCATGCATTGTGCATGTATGTGTGTGTGGTCAAAAAGTCCCTTTAAGGAAACTATTACTTGGTGGCCATTTTGGTAATGTCCCAGGAAAACTAAAGTATTTCCTTACTATTTACCAAGTGTCACAGCTAATTTTGGGGATGACCACATTTGTTTTGACTAATTGTCAAGATTATATTTCAATAACATAGGCTTATTAAAAAATGTGCCTCTGTCTACATGTTTGCAAAACTCAAAATGTCAAGAAAGTATCCTATCAAAAGAGGCCCTTGGTAACGTCAAAACGCGTGGCCTGGGCCTACAAATATTGCTCGATGGGCTAATATAATCTGGTTCTTCGACGCCGAAGCGAACCAGAGCATGTTGCAGGTACAGCAAGATACACAGTACTAGTTCCCTCTTCTAGAGAGTTACGTTAGGTTACGTTAGTAACCGAGTACGTTCTCTTAGTAGAGGTTCTCTTGTACTGCATAATATCTTACGCTAGGGGAACACAGTGTAAAACGCTGTGCGTGCTGGGATCCAACAACAAAGTCCCAAGGGCAGGTGCCCGGGGCTCATATAGTGCATAATCACTAGGGACTCACAAAGAGTCTAGGAAGAGAGACTAGAAGCGTCATTGCTAATAAGTAAGCATCCTAAGGGAACTAAGCATATTAACAGTGTTCCACACAGTCAGGGTGAAAATGTTCTGCCAACTGTGTAACAGTATGGAGTTATTATGGAGTCCCATGGAGTAATTTTATCGATCAGCAAGCGGTGCTTAAGAGGTTATAGTATTCTGAGCTGAAGCAACGGGGCAGACAATACTGATTTTAGACCGTAAGGCGAGAACCTCTAGGTAATAAAACCATAAAAATGTTGACAGGGAGGCCCAGTCTGCCTCCATACAGATATCCTGCATGGTAATCAAGCTAGACCAAGTCCACGACAAGGCCATGCCTTTTATGAAGTGCGCTCTAACACCTAAAGGACAATCCAAGCCTTTAGACATGTATGCCAGCGCTATGAACTATCCATCTGGATAGGCTCTGTTTTGATTCGGCTAGTCCCCTGAACGAAGCGAAGAGCTGCTCAGTCTGTCTGAAAACAGACGAGCAAGACACATAAGCTCTTAATGCCCTGATTGGGCAAAAGAAGCTTGCATCCTTTTCCTCGTTGTAAACCGGTAGGGCACACAGGGAAATAACCTGAGCCCTGAACGGTGTGTTGAGGGATTTAGGCACGTATCTGTGTCATGGCTTGAGTATGCCTTTTGAGTCATTTGGCCCAAATTCCATGCACGTCATGCTTGCTGAGAGTGCTTGTAAATCCCCTATGCTCTTCACTGACAAGAGCCATGCGAAACACTGTCTTGAATGACGGATGCCTCATGTCCGACAAGTGGATTGGCTCGAACGGGGCACCTTTCATGGCGGACAGTGAGCGTTTACTTGGGACGCAAACAGGTCTACCTGCACTCTGCCGAATATCTTCCACAGCAGTAGGACTGCCTGCGGGTGCAGAGACCATTTTCCTGCTGGAACATTGTTTCTGGACAGTCTGTTTGGTCCTAAATCCAGGTGACCAGGCACATGTGCTACTCTCAATGAGCACAGATTGTACTGAACCCAGACCAGGTGGCGTTCCGTCACCCTGTAAAGGTTTGACACCACCCTGGTGATTTATGTAGGCCACCACTGACATGTTGTCTGAGCGGACTAATATGTGGTGACCTTTTATTCAGGGACAAAAATGCCTCAGCATGTTGTCAATTGCCATCATTTCAAGACAGTTTATGTGTAGGAGCTTTTCCCTTTATGACCACTGGCCAAAGAACAATCTGCCCTTGAGCAGTGCTCCCCATCCCAAGGTGGAGGCATCTGTGGGCACCACTCTCACACTCAAGGAAGTCCCCAGATTTGCACCTGACTGGTACCAGTCTATTGCCTTCCAAGGTTTCAGAGCTGTGATGCATTTCGGATTGACCTCGTGGTGAAACAGACCAGAGGCCCATGCCCGAGCTGGTACTCGCGCTTTTAGCCATAACGCAGTGGGCACATGCAAAGCAGACCCAACTGGAGTACTGATGATTCGGAGGCCATGAGACCCAGCATTTTCTGAAACCTTTTGAGTGGGACTATTGTGTTGCTGCAGAAGGCTTTCGTGATGCACTTAATGTTCAGGCTACACTCTGCACTCTGTCAATTCGTGGTGTGCAGCCTGTGAGTGAATGTGGGCATGGGACAGAGGGCACATTTACTGCAGACAGCTGTTTCGGGTGATCTGCTGCGAAGCTAGAGTGCTTTGGTAAGCAGTGCTTCATAGCCTATGACGTCTTCTGAACCTCGCTGGGGAGATGGGCGCGTCGAGGAACGCTGAGCACTTCGCGTCCGGCATCTCAGATAACGTCAGCCATAGGTGTCTCTCAGCAACGGTGAGAGAAACCACGTTCCTGCCCAATGGCCTGTGCAGCGGATTTTTTGCAGGAAACATCCATCCAGTCAGTTGTTCTCTCACAGCCGAGGCTCGCCCCGATCTGTGAGAGTAGACGCATCAGCTCGGATTCTATGCTGGCCTATTTCCCTGACGACTCGCGAGCAGAGGAGGGAGGTCCAGAGCTCGCCCAATCCTCACTGTCCAACGCCAGGATAGAGCAGCTGGCCTTCTCTACAGAAGCAGCTACGTTGTCCATCGGTGAGCGACTCGAGTGAAGCTGGTGAAGCTCGCGGGGGAACCGGGGGAAGATAATCAATACAATTAGATCAAATGCTCAGAGATAAAGAGTAAAAGATGTACCTGACTCAAGAAATGATGGGCTTATGGGCTGATCTCATTACAGATCGCCCTAAGCCTCGTGTGCTCTTCCTTTAAATACCCAGACCAAGACAGAAATTTCTTTCACATGGAAACATTTGCTAATAATGGGAATTTGCATTCAGAGTTTACACCTTTTTAGACCAGGGTGCCATTTGCCTGGAAGACACAGCCTCTTCTTTTATCTATAATCTCTCAAAAACTTTATTACCTTTTGGTTTACTTCTGTGGAGAATTAGACTTTTGTAACAGTTGCACTGAAACATTCCAAATGATACCAAACATGTATAGTGTTGTATGATCATTGTTCACATTAAACCATATAGATTTTTGGGTGAATTTCAGGTGATCTCCGCATGAGTGAGAGAAGGAATGGGGTAATGGAGGGTCAAGGCAAAGAGATGTAGATTAGAAGAGATGTCTTCCTCAAGTGCTCATTGTTCAGACATTAACCTGGACAGCAAAAACAAGTGAAGAATTATTTGAAATTTAAATAGGTTGTTCCAGTTGCATGGCAGGTCAGGCTAACAAAAGTTTCAGACATCAGAGCAACAAGATTAAAGATTTTTCAATGGCTTCAAGGATTAATGTCACATCCCTTGGTCACATCAGGCAGATTTACAACTAAAATAACAGCTTGGAGTGGAGCAAGTCTATGTCTGGGAGCTCGACTTATAATGGACTTTCTGACCCTAGAGTGCTTTAAGATGGTGTCAGAATTTGAATATAGTAGAGTTCTGAAAACCTCATCTAGATATTGTTTACTTGAGTGAAAGCTTCCATGATGAGAAACATTAAAAACCAAATTAATTGCATAAATGTGCAGGCCCACTAAATGTGCAAAACGTAAGCATATATTTGGTAAACACATAATCAGCTTTAAAGCAGGAAAGTGTGAAAATTAATGAAAGACATGTTCATGAATGTGTATATGCTCACAAATGGCTCCAATTGGCTGATGCCAACAGTGAGTTTTAGTTGTTGAAAGGTGTTTCTATCAGTCTGAAACATTCCTTGGCTCTAATTCACCTTTATTGACCTCATCAGCCATAATGCATGATTTTAGCCAACTGAGCACTTAACCATGAAATTAAGCTGGATAAGAAATTTTCCACTAAGGAATGGCTCTGATTATGAACCCAACATCCAGACCAGTTGCTTTCCAAAGTGCTAAATTGATTTAGAGACAGACCTTGCACAGATGATCACCCATATATTGACTTGAAGGGTTAGTACACCCACAAATAAAAATAAATAAATTGTCATCAATTACTTAGCCTCATGTTGTTCTAAACCCGTAAGTCCAATTTTTATTGTTCCGAGGATGAACGAAAGTCTTATGGGTTTGGAACAACATGAGGGTAAGTAAATAATGACATAATTTCCATTGGGTCAACTAAAGCTTTAAAAAAAGATTTTTTGACGTTGTAAATTATAGCAGATACATATTAAATGTACCATTAGAGACTGGATTGGAGAGATCAGGGACCATTGTAACTGGGATGATGTGTTTTAGTCCTAGATCAAGTGTGCCAAACTCAGCACCTGGAATGCCACATTCTTGAAGATTTAGTTCCAACCCTGCTCCAACATGCATACCTGTAGTTTTCAAATAATCCTGAAGGACTTGGGTAGTTTGATCAGGTGTGTTTAAAGCTACACTGTGTGATTTTTACCCCCATCTAGTGGTGAAAAGGCATATGAACATCCAGTGAATTTTAATTTCTGTTCCTCTCAATTCCGATTTCGTTTTAACTCCAACGGTGGCCAATATAGTCCAAGATTAACATGGCTTCCATTTCGTCTTCGTCCATGAGTGTTAACTCAAATGTAAACGCGAAAGGCGAAGCTTGAATTAACGGGTATGTCCCTCTTTGGCTAATGTACTTTCAAGATGGAGGGGCAACATGGCTACCGACATTAGAACCCCTTACCCGTATGTATTTTCAATGGCATATTATACACTCACAAGAATACTTTATTACTTGAACGAAGTAAATATTCATTAATGAGCACATACATTTTTGAGCTAGTTTTTAGCTAAGAATAAACTAAAAGAGTTACACTGTGTAGCTAGCTTTAATTAGATTTGAAGCTAAACTCTGCAGAACTGTGGCCCTCCAGGGAGTTTTATACCCGTATCTCTCAAATTTTAGCATAAAGTAGCTACATATGTC